AGGTGATGTCCCATATGATGTCTTAACATCATGATTATTGATGGCTATTTTTTGCTTGGGATTATGCAGTTGAATGCTCAAGCATTATTGTCAAAAGTGGCATTTTTGACCTTATGGATTAGAATATGGAGATTTCGGTCCTGTCTACAGTAGCATGTTTGATGAATGCATGACTATTTTGTTAAAGACCCTGCTAGTATCAACAAATACTAGTGGATGCAAGAACGGAAGAAGTTGTCAGGTACTAAGGTCTGTTCACACTACTACAAAAATCACATGTTATGTCAGGCGTGAAATGTGTTAATTTTCAATTCTGGATTCGAGGTAAGTAAGTTCCTCATAAAAGGTTATCCCTTATCACCTCGGATATTAAAATACTAAGGGGTTACGTTAAATGCACGTGGGTTCGACTCCCATCCTCGGCATTTTTATTATTTTCATAACTGGATAACGTGCCCTTTATTAACACTCGGTTTTCTAATAAACCTAGGTAATATATCAAAATTATTAGTTCGGTTAATTTTGGAAACTGAGGGGTTATATTTTTTTCTGTTGTTGTCTGCACCTGAATTACAAAATACAGAACCATGAAAAATAGAATACATAACCAATGCTAACCCAAAATGGTGCGCCCATTCCTCAATTTGAAACAGAAATATTCATTGATTACACCATATGAAATACCCAAAATGGAATACACTTTATAATTTTAAATCAAAACTAAAACAAATGATTATGAAACAAAAGAAATAAACCATTTACTTACTAGTTTTCCCATATACCCTCTTCATGATCACGACGAATAACATGCACATCATCTAAGTCATTTTCTTCAGATGATTGACTTATATGTGTTGCTAAACAAGGAGTCTCGTAGTTAAAATCTTGATTTTCATCAGTACTATCAGGAAGATGTTTTCCTTGAAGAACAATTGACCATATAGTGTTAGATGGATCAGTGACATAAAAAACTTGGTTTGCTTGGTTTTCCATGATGAATGGTTCGTTCTTGGAAGTTGCCTTTCGAAGATCAACCCTTGTGAATCCTAATTCATCGGTTTCTACACCAGTTTTACTGTCAATCCACCTGCACTTAAATAAAGGCACTTTAAAAAAAAGCATAGTCAATCTCCAAAATTTCCTCAATGATCCCAAAGAATGCTCTAGATGCTAGTACTGGATTGTTATCTTTGGAACTAGAAAAGTACATGGATTCAACCTCAACCATAACACCACTATTGTGCATGGTGCTACGATCATCCTTTGATTTTGTACATAACAAATATTTTCTAATGTTGTATGAACTCAAAGTAATTACATTAAACTTAGGCAAATGTGACAACCATTTGCAAATATCTGATGCACCAATCTCATTGGAAATACTTTCCTTAAACCAATCTATGGAATTTTTGTTATGCTCAGTCAACAACCATTTTTCATTCATCTGGGGGTATTGTTCCTTTATAAGATCTTTGTGCACGGTCAAGTAAGGATCAACTTCACTAAGGTTATTAAATATATACAAATATGCTGGAAAAACTAATTCTCGACTTAATGTCTTAACATTTAAACCTTGAATACCTCTACCTTCATTAAATCTATCATGACAAGACTCGGGTACTCCTACAAAGTTCGCATCTGACAAATAGTTTGTACAAAACTCAATAGCTTCTTCTGCGATGTACCTTTCTACGATCGAAGCTTCTGGATGATGATGATTCTTTGTATACCCTTTGAAAATATTCATGTAACGCTCTACCGGATACATCCACTACAAATAAACTGGACCACAAATTCTAATCTTCCTTACTATATAAACAACTAAGTGAACCATAATGTCAAAGAATAATGGAGGGAGAAACATCTCTAACTGGCACAAGATAATTGCAGCTCCGTGTTCCAATTCATCTAAATTTCCAGGATCTGTAACTTTTATGCATATAGAATTGAAGAATAAGCACAATCTGGTTATATCCACCCTTACATTTATTGGTAAGATGCCACAGATAGCCACTGATAGAAGTTGTTGCATCAAGACATGACAATCATGAGATTTTAAGCCAATTAATTTGTGATCGTTCTTTGACACAAGTTTCTTCATATTTGATGAGTACCATTGGGGAACTTTGGAACTCTTCAAACAATCGCATAAACTTCTTTTTTATTTTTTAGACAGAGTATGACATGCTGGGGGAAAATAGGTTATATTTCCTACTTCTTTTGGGGCTAATTCTTGTCGTACACCCATCGTAACCATATATTCACGGGATTTTTTAGTATCTTTTGTCTTGCCTTTAATGTTGAGAAGTGTTCCAATCAAGCTATCACATACATTTTTCTCCACGTGCATCACATCAAGACAATATCTTACATCAAGACTAGACCAATATGGAAGATCAAAGAACACCGACCTCTTTTTCCAAGAATTTTTCACCACAGGCTTTTTTAGTTTCTTTCCAAATACAACTTTAATATGTTATTTTTTTCTATAAACTTCCTTCTCGGTTAAGGGTTTTAAAGTTGGACGAAACTTCTGCTCTCCATTGAAAGCCTTGTGCAATCTACGATACAGATGACTAGGTCTTAGAAATCTTTGATGCCCCAGATAAACTGTCTTTTTCTTTTTGGTACTTGGTGGTGACATGTATTACATTCACATATAGGACACGCATTATGACCCTTGACGTTGTACCCAAACAAATTACCGTATGCATCAAAGTTATTAATTTTGCAAAATAACATGGCACGTAACTTAAAGTTATCACCTGTATACGCATCATCAACACCAACACCTTCCTCCCACAAAAGTCTTAAATATTAAATAAATGGCGATAATTAAACATATATGTCGCTCCCTGGTTGTTTCAGACCCGAAATCATCATTGATAGCATCATATACTTACGCTTCATGCACAACCATGGAGATAGGTTATAAATTAAGAGAAGAACAGGATATGACATATGGTTAGTACTCATATTACCAAAAGGGTTCATTCCATCGGTGGCAAGTCCAAGCCTAAGGCTCCTCGGTTCAAGGGTAAAATCTGGAAACAATGAATCAATTTTATTCCATTGCAATGAATCAGCTACGTGGCAAATTTTTCCATCACACAATCTTTCATATGCATGCCATCTAGTATTTTGTGTCACTAACATTAGCAAACAATCTCTTGAACCTTGGAATTATTGATAGGTACCACATCACCTTGACAGGAACACCCTTGCTAGTTGCACCATCATTGTTATCAATACCATTGTCCTTCTGTTTGTAACACGTTCAAGTTTTCAAACTCTTTCCTATATAAGATGCAATCATTACGAAAAGAGTTTATTTAACATAATTCAAACCCATTGAATACAATACCTTCTTGGCACTATATCTTTCAATTATACTGGCTCAATCCATATGTCTTTCAATTATACTAGCTTAGTCCTGATGTCTTTCAATTTTTCTGACTCAGTCCAGATGTCTTTCAATTATACTGGCTTAGTCCATATGTCTTTCAATTATATTGGCTCAATTCAGATGTCTTTCAATTTTCTTGGCTTAGTCTAGATGTCTTTTAATTATACTAACTCAGTCCAGATGTCTTTTAATTTTCCTAGCTCAGTCCAGATGTCTTTCAATTATACTGGCTCAGGCCATATATCTTTCAATTATACTGACTATGTCCATATGTCTTTAATTTTCCTGACTCAATCCATATGTCTTTCAATTACACTGGCTCTGTTCAGATGTCTCTAATTACCCTGGCTCAGTCCAGATGTCTTCAATTATTCCTGGCCATGCCCAGATATTTTTCATATTCTTGACCATGTCCAAATGTTTTTCATTATCCTGGCCCCGTCTAGATGTTTTCTACTCTTTAACCTCGTCCAGAATGTTCCACAATGACATGTATCCATTTTGTTCTCATTGGTGTCCCTGCAACATCTAAGTAGGAATCACATGTCATTCTAAGTCCCATCAACGTAAAATCAAGACTAAGAGGTACAACGATAAGTTGTGGATGGATACTTATGTACATGTTTTCAGTAAATTAGCCCTTTACACAAATTATTTTCTCTCGAAAAGACAAATTAAAAGTCTTCCAATATTTTATTTTATTTTATTTTCTAGATTATCATAAATTTTAAAATGATCCATAAATTAAGGTCTATTTAGAGGGACAATAAATGACTTGCAAAATACATGTACTGTTTTGAAATTCAACAAACATTACTTCGGCGGCTTAGAAGTTTGACAATTGAGAGCCACAACATGATTTTCTTTACAATTTGTTATATTTAATAGTAATTAATTTTGTGAAGCAAAATTACAATTATTTTTTCTATATTTTAATTTAATATAGACTAAATATATCAAATTAAAATAACAGATAGGATCTCAACTGGGATTCGCATTCTGGATCAGAATTATAAAACACCATAACATCAACTTTTCTTTCAGTTGTATTCAGCTTACTTTTTGGAGTTGAATTGAATACATCTTCTTTAGTCCAGCTTTGTGTTTCGCTTTTGGCAACTCAATCACAAATACTAGTTCCCTTTTTATTATAAGTCGTTTTGATTTGAATATATTAAAAAAAATCAATCATTTTTATAAAAATAAGTAGAAATGAGAAAAGTGATAAATTATATTATTATTTTTTTAAGTAAATTATATGACATGATTAAATGATAAATTTTTATTGAATAATAATATAAAATTATTTTATATTATTAGTAGTTATTCTTTATTAATTATATGAAAAACAAAAATTTAAAGAATAAAAAAATTATTTAAAGGTATAATAAACAAAAATAACATTAATAATTTATTAAAATTGTAAAATAGTAGCATAAATTTTTCTCCAAAGGCAACTCATACTTTTCTTACCAATAAGTTAATCCAATATCAATCTTTTTATTTTTCTAGCTATAAAAGAAAATGCATGAGTAGCATCCCCCAACAAGCCACACATTCTCTCTTTTTGCACAACTTCAAACTTCTATCTACAATGTCGAGAGCCAAACAGGTTATTACATGCAAAGGTACGTATATCATATGATTCATAAGCTCTTAACATTAATTATTTTGATGAATAAAGAGTATTCATATATTCATGTTTATTGGACTGTGTAGCTGCTATATGCTGGGGTGTAGGAAAGGCAGTGACTGTGGAAGAGATACAAGTAGATCCACCAAAGGCAACAGAAGTTCGTGTCAAGATGCTGTGTTCTAGTGTCTGCCACACAGACATCTCAAGTCTTCAAGGATTTCCACATGTTAGTTTCTCACATAATTTCAATCCTATATATATTATATACTGTGTTTTATCTTTGTTTTTGTCCAAAATTTTTTTTTTTTACTATTAATTCATTTGCAGAATCAGTTTCCTCTAGCACTTGGACACGAAGGAATAGGGTAAAACTTTTTTATCTTGTGTTCACGTGTTGTATTTGTATCTTAGTATTATGAATCTTGTTGTGTAAATGGTGCAGTGTTGTAGAGAGTGTTGGTGATGAAATAAGGAATCTAAAGGAAGGTGATTTTATAATTCCAACTTACATAGGAGAGTGTGAAGAATGTGAGAATTGTGTTTCAGGAAAAACCAATTTATGTTTGAGACATCATGTGAGATTGAATGGTTTAATGCCGGACAACACTTCAAGGTTGTCGGTACGAGGTCAAAGACTGTACCATGTTTTGAGCTGTGCTACATGGTCAGAGTACGTGGTTGTTGATGTCAACTACCTAGTCAAAGTTGATCCAACCATTAATTTAGCTTATGCTAGTTTCATCTCATGTGGTTTTTCAACTGGTTATGGAGCTTGTTGGAGAGAAGCCATTGTTGAAACAGGTTCAACTGTAGCTGTTTTTGGTCTTGGTGCTGTTGGATTAGGGGTATGAAATGAAATGAAATGAAGAAAAGTATAATCATTTGATTTAATTATTGATTTTATCTTTGTTTGAAACTTGACTTGGAATTTGTCGTGGATCGATGGATCATGCAGGCGATAAGTGGGGCCAAGATGATGGGAGCAAGTAAGATAATTGGTGTTGACAAAAACCAGATGAAGAAAGAAAAAGGAGAAGCTTTTGGAATGACTCATTTTATAAATACTAATGTTTCTGATAAATCTGCTTCAGATTTGGTTAAAGAGTTAACTGGAGTGGGTGTAGATTATTGTATTGAATGCACTGGTGTTGCATCTTTGCTCACTGAATCTATCGAATCCACAAAAATGGTAATTAATTTTCTCTTCTAGTACTCGTACCCGAGAGGTTGGCCTGCTGGTAAAGGCTTAAGACCAGAGAGTTTCGGGTTTGAATCCTGCTAGATGCTAATAATTTATGTTTTGAGCCAATGCTTTTGGTTCTAAATTTTTGTGTATTTGATGTAAATAGGGAACAGGTAAAACAATTGCACTTGGTATAGGAGCTGAACTTGTTGTACCATTAGGAGTTCTTGCTATTCAGTTTGGTAGAACCTTAAAAGGTTCTGTTTTTGGAGGTATAAAAGCCAAATCAGATCTTTCCATCATTGCTCACAAATGTCAAAATCAGGTAATCTCATTTTTTTTCATCGTTTATTGTATAACTGAAATATCTACTTTCTTTAAATCAAATACATTACTTATTCAATAAATCTGTAAAATGAATATCTGTTTATAATAGTGACCGACATGAAGTTTTAAAGTATTTAATTAATTTGTTGTTTTATAGGAATTTCCTCTGGAAGAACTTTTCACGCATGAAATCTCTTTGGTAGATATAAACAAAGCATTTGAGTTATTGAAAGAACCCAATTGTGTGAAAGTTGTTATCAAGATGTAGTGTTACATATTTATTATGGAAATAATAAATTTCAATAAAATCTGGCAGAAAATATTAGAGAAAATTGTGTTTCCAATAATAATACTAGAGTAGATGATGATCTTTTTCTTAGATGAGACTTTAATTATAAAAATCGGTTTTTAGTTAAGTGAATTCTTATCTACTCATTAAAAATAATTGAATAAAGTTATCCGACTAACCTGTCAAATGCATAATGGTCCATGTGTATCCCACTCTCTTGATATTAATTTTTAAAATTAATGATTTATTTCCATGTAATTGCAATTCAATCTCTACTTTTATTAATGATTTTAGTGGCTAGAAAAATTTATATTTCCAAAGAAATTTCTTCTCTCTCACCAGAACACTTTTTCTACCTTTGACTTCCCATTTTTGCTCATTCCCATCTATGCCCAAGTGTTAAAATTTGAGAAGTAACGTTTTGATTTCATGGTACAAAATCAATGGACTACCAAATTTATATCCTATAGTATAGTGCTTTTCAATTTTTTAATTGGGATTTGATTTTTCATTATTGATTTTGGAACATATAGTCCTTCTAAATATCATAATCTTTAATGAAGGGCATATAAAATAATAATAATCTTTAACGAAGTTGTTTAACTTTTTTTAATATTATACTGTATTTATTAATATTTTGAGTTTTAAAGGTTTAATTTTTTATTTAAAAATAATAACTATTTAAAATTTTATAATGTATTTTTTTCCCTACCTTATTCTTAGAAAAGCATTCCAAAATTTAAAAATCCCTTTGAATTATAATATTTTTTTAGATAGATCACGTGATAAAGATTGTAGAAATATTAAATAATTTAACAATTTATATAATCATAAAAATGTATCATTAAGAAATAAATTAGTTAATATGTGTATAAGTTATTAAAAAGATTTTTTGAGCAATTTTTTTTGAAAACTATGAAGTATGAAAAAAATCAAGTCATTTGCAAAAAATTTCTATAAAATAATACTCAAAAAATATATATTTTAATAGATTTCAAACATTTGACACTAATAATTTGTAATTGTCAAAAATACATAATATGTTTTTAGGAGTCTAACTTGCAAATCTTAAGAGTCAAAGATGTATAAGATAATAGTTAACTATGTGTGAACTATTTCAGAGATTTATAGGATGATGTTGAACTATGTGTGAACTATGTCAGAGAGATATATAAAATGACTATCAATTATGTGTGAGCTATGTCAGAGATGCATAAGATGATCGTCAACTATACGTGAACTATGTCAGAAATTCATAGGATGATGATCAACTATGTATAAACTATGTGAGAGATTCATATAATGATGATCAATTATATGTGAACTATGTCAGAAATCCATGTTATGATGATCAACTATATGATAATTTTATTAGAAATAAGTTTTTCTAATTATTTTGGCATGACTCTTTTTTGAATCATAAAACAGTTGATTAATTAATATATTATGACAATAATTAACAATAAAATTAATAAAATTTATTTAAAAAATGAGTTATTAAATAAAATAAATTATTTTAGAGTTACTCTTCAAATTAATATAGTATGACTCATATATATTTTATTTAAAAAAATTATTTAAATTTATTTATTATATAAAACAAAAATTGATAAATTAAATAATATGATTCAAATAAAAAACAGTGGAAATAAATAAAGGTATTAAAAATTATTTTGGCAAGCAAATATTTATGATGAATCGTTATCTTTCTTATACTGTTTCAATTTGTATTCCTTCATAGCATGCTAGTAGTTGTTTTGAAAAAAAATATATATGAATGGTCATAGCTAGCATTGGAAATATGCGAATTTTTTTTAACAACTATCATATTTTGAAAAAAAAAATATAAATAATTATGTTTTGAAGAAATTTATGTAAAAGATTATGTTTCATAAAATATTATAATATAGTAGTCATTTCAGATGGCGTATATATTGATTTTTTTAAAGAGACGTAAAATGAAATGACGTCTAACTATCTCTTAATTTTTTTTATAATTTTTTTATTTATCTGCAGATTTTTCTACAGAGTTGACTTTTTCTGCAGATTTACTTGCGGGTTTACCTGCGGACTATTTTGCTACAGGTAATTCTCTAGAAAAATCTACATGTAGTCTTTAGATAATGTCAAATTTGTAAGAAAATCTACAGGTAATTGAAAAAATTTGAAAAATATATAGGATACGCTAATTCAAGTGGCGTCTCTTCTTTAATTCATTTTTTTAGAACACATATTTATTTATGTAATTTTTTTTAAAATATAATTATTTACATAATTTTTTCTAAAATATAATTATTCATATATTTTTTTCAAAATATGATAAATGTTAAAAACATTCGAAATATGCACTTCTTATTCCTGATTTAATACAACAGAGAGTAATTTAGAATTATTATAAAATTTAGTGTCACAAATATAAACTATTGTCTTTTTAATGATATGATAGGTGGCATATTTTAAACCAATACAAGTATGGCAACTCAGATGGGTAAAGTTACCCAATTTTTATGGTTGGGTAATGAAGTTGTGCCCTTATAGTTATAGTCATCTATATGTAAAATTATCTAGAGTAAAAAAAAAAAAGAAAAAGATATTGATTTATGATGATAAAGGAAAATGTTATCCTTCAATAGCTAATGACGAATGTTATGTTGACACCAGAAATGATGTAGGACACCATATTTTCATCTTGTTATCAATTTAAAAAATAAATTATTTCTTTCAAATAATTAATTAATATTTGTTATTAAGAGTGAAAATAGATTAGGTTGAGTTTGGTTTTGTTAACATTGAGTCTAATTTGTTAAAAATTTTAAAGTTTAAGTATGACATGTGGTCTATCAAAGACTTGTTTTTAGACTTGAGTTTAAGGTTGACAATGGGACGGATCGGACTCAGACTCGCCCCGCCCCCAAACTCGATCGAGGCTAATATTTATTTCCCTGCCCCTACCCCCAACAAAAAACAGGTTTCTCCGCACCCGCCCGAATAAAATTTTAATTTTTTTAAATTTATTTTTTTCAATAAAAATAAAAATTAATATTTAAATTAAATAATTGATTATTTTAAAAATATTTTTTATGTTTGATATTTTTATTTAAATTATATTTTTTAAAAATAAATAATAATTCTAATAAATATGATATTATAACATTAAAAAGTGTAAATGAGCAATAAAACTATTCAAAATAAATTAAATAAATTAAATTTAATTGGCGGGTGCAAGGAGGGTGTGGGTGCAGGGCGGATACTAGCATCACCTGCCCCCGCACCCGTAAACAAAAATCAGGTTTTCCCCGCACCTGCCCCCGGTTAAATCGGGTTTTCCCTGTTAATTTCAGGACGGGTGCAGCCGGGACCTGGCGGAGGCGGATTTATTTTCCATGCCTACCCGAGTCTGGTCTTTTCGAAAGTCTGATTGACCTATTAGCCTACATAAAAACCTATTTTATTTGAACATTTTCAAATAAGCAATTCAACTAATGTTAAAATAGACTAACAAATTAAAAGATTAATTAGACTAGATGCTTATTTGCATTGAGTTATTCAAGTTCACTTATTAACATATATTTTGTGATACTATTTGTTTGAGAGAATTTATGAAAAACAACTTATGATATTGTTCATAAGGTTTTTTCAACGTATTTTCATAAGTCCTTCTAGACATCTAAACTTTATTTTTGTATTTTAATTTAAAATACAAACACCATATATTAGTAAAACTATTCATATTTATTTAAATAGGTTGTCCTTATAGACTTAAAAGACTTTTTTTTTTGTAGTACGTGGCCTAACCTTTTTAACTAAATAGCCTTACAAAAAAGTTTGAGCATTTTCTATTTAAAAAAAAATCTGGTCTCGCCTAGGCCTATATAGGATAGCATGTAGACCCCCGCTATTGGCCTGACGAATTTCCACCCCTACTTGTTATAGATGTATTTTGATAAGTGTTTTACCCCAAAGTTTTCCCTTCTTACTTCTCAAGATTTTTCTCACAAAATTTCTACTAGTTCAAGTTTGCACAAGTACAATTAGATCATATTGAATTTCTAAGCACCGAGTCAAAGAGGAAAGTAGATAAATTTGATTTTTTTGACAAAATTGAAGAAAAGTAAGTTTGCTTTGATTCATACTAGCTTCGAATGAACATTGCTTCGATTCATGCTCAGCTTTGACTGAATTCTCCCCTGTAAGCTAGCTTCAACTGGCCATTTGTTTCCCTTGAAACAACTTCCTTTAATTCAGAAGGCAAAGGCCTCTTGTGGGTGTCCTTCGATTCAGAAGTTAGTGGCTCCATACCAGCTTCCTTCAATTCATAAGGCAAGGGCCTTCTGAAAGCTTCCTTCAATTCAGAAGTTAGTGGCTCCATATTGTGGCGGTAGAAATGCTCAAGACTAAGTCATTGGATTGACTAGACTTTATACAAATCAAAATAAAAATCGCCACCGTGTTTTATTGTTTCCAAAGGAATAGAAAAAGAGCGAATAACCCAAAAAGTGGGGGAAAGATTCAAGGTAAGGGGGTTGGTTATGCAAAGGGAATGTATTAGCACCCTAAACATCTACGGTACTCTGCAGGAGCCTCTTTGTAAAATCTGTATATTTTGGCTATAAAAAATGTTGTATATAAAATGGATGGTGGAGGTGAGAAAAGAAATATATTTTATAATTTTTGCACCTGCCGCAGTTGCGAACCTTTAGTGCCTACGTACCATCTTTCATGCAATAGGGGATCAGGGTACACGTAGTTCCTCTTTTAAAAATTGAAACACAAATGCGTTGGTCAATTTTATGAGATAAAACATCATCGTCATTGTCCGTGTGGAAAACACACCTACTATCCACAATCATGAGAAAGGAGAATTTGCATCATCTCAAAGTGGAGGATATGGCTTGGATTTCAAAATCAACAATGCCTCACTCAACACCCAAGTGGAAAATATCTCTCTTCACTACATATTGTAGAAGTATAATTGTTTG